CTCATACACTTATTTAAACATCCACTACACCCTATTTCTCTCTCTCTCTCTCACACACACACACACGCACACGCACACACACGCACACGCACACACATGCACACCCTAGGCACCAGGGACGCCCCATGCAGCCCTCCTCCAATCCCTCACCTATCCCGGCCTCTGGCCTTGTCCAGGGTCTGATTCCCCCTGTGCTCCCTGCGAAGGCCTAGCCAGGCGAGGCGGCGGGTCAGGCGGGCCCCCAGGCCTTTGCGCTGCTCTGTCATGTTGAGGGAAAAGCCCCGGGGCAACTGACCGCTCCGGGCGGCGGGGCACCCGGATCCGCTCCTTTGCGGAGAAACGCCTTCTCCCGCCCTTCCCCCGGAGTAAATAGTGGCTCCGCCCGCAGGAGCAGGGGACCAACCCTGTCACAACGGGTGCGCTTTGAAGGGCTCTGAAGGGCTCTGAAGGGCTCCCAAGGGCTCTGAAGGGGCCGCCCCTACCCTGGGCTGCAGCGGGGGTCGCTCTACCTGAGCCCCCTCTCCCCAAGGCCCTGCCCTCGGCCCTGCACGCGCTGCTACTTTAGGTCTCCGGGAGGTGCCAGGCACCCCTCAAGGCGGGTATAAACGAGGCGTACCCGGAAAGAGGGGCTAGAAGGCGGAGCTGAGCAAAGGGTCTTCCCCACGAAGGACGGGCTCGAACAAAAGGGCGGGGACAGGGGACGGCAATAAGTGTGGTCTTGCCGACGGGGCGGGGCCTAACCAAATGGTTGACATCTGGCTTGAGGTCAAAGCGGTGACTGGGTAGGCTTGGAACACAGACCTTGATTACCCGTAGGGGCGGGAGCTGACCCTGCCATTGCGCTGCCATGGTGGACTTCCTATTTGAGTTCTCTCCCTATACCTCATCATCTCCCTCTACCTCTCTGTCGTGGACAGCCTACAACGCAGCCAGCATCTCGCCTATTACCCGGGTGGGAAAGTCGCGCTGAAACCTACAGATGTTCGAACAGCGTCCCCTGTTGGAAATTGGCAGCTATTGTTATTTAATAACTACTGTTTATTGTGATATAACCTGGGCCTCCTGCCTCCCAGGAGATGCCCTTCACTACTTGATGCTGCCTCTCTAATTCTCGAGTGGGGGTGGGGAACACCTGCACATTTGAGGGGACCCTCTGGCACTGCAGGAAGAAAGGCCACCAAGAGGATCCCAGTTCCCCAGGCTCTCTTCGCCAGTTCTTCCCTGCCTGTATTCCTTGTAGGGTCTCTACTCCTTCCCTGAGCCCAGCACCTCCCTAGCCCTTTGCCCTCTGTGGTGACTGGTCCTGGCACATGGGACATCATGCTTCTGGGTCATGATGGACACTGATATCCTGTGTTTCTGCCCCTCCATCCCCAAAGAGGGCTCAGATCCTGGCATGTACATGGCAGGTAGTACCAGCTGAGGGGCCCCGTGGCCTTCTTATAACTGAGACAAGGTGGTGGTAGAAGCAGCAGAGACACATCTAGACAGATGCTAGAACATCTATTCAGCACAGTCTGCACCTTGCAGAGTCCTAGAAGGCTGGGCTGTCCATCGGTGAGCTGAGATGGAAGGCCTGGTCCCAAGAGGAAGCAGAACCCAAACCCAGCTGGAGGTAGATGGCTGCAGGCACCTACCCCATGTGTGGGCAGCACTAACTATGTCTTGACTTGCTCCAAGATGGGGTGTGAAGTTTGGCAAATCTACAAGGACTTCTCCCTTCATTGTTGAAGCTCAGGAAGGCTCAACTTGTAGTAAAGAAAATCCTTTTATTGCTCTGCCCTTCCCCCTCCACCAGGACAGTCCTGCCACCATCCTCAGGCTGGCTGTCCTTGCTTTCCCTGGAATGCTGAGGACATGTTGATCTTGTCTGCATCCCAGCCCATCTGCCCCTCTGATGGTGCTATCATAAGACCTAGTGCCCCTTGGTGCCACTGGGTAAGGCAGGAGAGAGACACCAGAGGCAGATGGGTGTGAGCTAGGTTGCTGGGCTGTGGAGCATGCAGACGGTGGTGCAGCTTCAGGTGAATGCGCTGGGTGAAGCGACTTGGGCAGATACTGCACTGGAAGGGCCGGGCCCCTGAGTGCAGGCGCAGGTGGGTCTTGAGGTTGCTGGAGCTGCTGAAGCGCTTGTGGCACATCTGATGAGAAAGGGCACTGGCATTAGGTCTGCCCATCTGGCTGACTCAGGATCTCTGCTCCCCCTCCCTATTCCCTATCCCCACCTCCCAGGCCCAGAAGCTCCCCCAACCCCAAGATTCCTCCCTGGGACCCACAGTGTCTAGCACATTGGAGCCAGGCAGACCTGGGTTAGTACCCTGGTTCTTTTACTCTCCACATGACCTTGTATAGGTGACTTCCCCTCTCTGATCCTTGCTCTCCTTATTGGTAAAATGTGACTATTAATACCTAACCTCATGGGTGTGGCAGACTGAATGAGATAATCACATAGAACCCTTATGAGTGGGGCTGCAACTTCAGTGAGCATAATTAACATTTACTGGGAGCAGCCACATGCCAGAAATTGGTCTCATGTAGTAGTAGGATTAAATACTACTACAACTCCTATAAAAACAATGAGAAAGGAGAGGCTCAGAGGAGTGAAACCACTAGCCAAAGGTCACACAGCAATTTGTAGACAGAATGAGGATTTGAACCCATGTAGCCCAGACTTATAATCACTATACTGCTTTCGGTGAAACAGAGAAAGAGTCCCTGTAAAACAGGGAGTCCCTGCCCTTCTGACGTCCCAAAGGATGTGGTGAGGCTCAAAGAGGGAAGGAACTAACATGGAGCTGATGTTATACAAATTGCTTGTATACTTTACTCACACTATGACATTAACTCTCCAGCAAGGCTAGGAGGAAGGTAATGGGTATTTATGCCTCAGGGTCCCCCAACTTTATTATCCTGCCCCACCAGACATACATCTCTATCCTTGCTACAGGACTCCGAGGGTGACCTCCAATATCACATCTTGGCCCTTCGAGGCTGAGAGGGGTCATTTTCACCTTTCACCACCTCCCTCCCCGTCCCCACCCTCATCTCCTACACTGTCTCCACGTGCTCAGGAGGGTTGGGGAATGGAGACTATAGGTGGAGACGGGGACTGCAGGAACGGAGACTCGGGGGCCTGGAACTCCTTCACCTGCTTGCGGAAGTACAAGGAAGGGGAGGAGGGGCTTACCAGGCACCCGTAGGGCCGCTCCCCAGTATGCACCAGGTGGTGTTTCTGCAGGTGGGTGAGCTGGGTGAAGCGCTTATGGCACAGGGCACACTGGAATGGGCGCTCCCCACTGTGCACACGCAGATGGACCTGAGCCAGGTGTGGGAGAAATGCTGTCAGCCTCCCAGAGCCCCCAGCAGGGTCTGGGAACCTCTCTGAATCTCTACCCCCAGCCTCACAGGACCCCTTTTTGGCAATGAGGCCTCTCAATCTCCTTGCCTCTCTGTCACCCCCTTCAGGGCCCCTTTTCCATTCTCCAGGAGATCCCCATTCTCTGCTGCCCTGTGGGAGGGGAGATGGCAGTGGTCTGAAGGCCAGATAAGGGATTATGTATGTGTGTATATATATATGTGTGTGTGTGTGTGTGTGTGTGTGTCCGCGTATATATATGTACACACATATATATATGTGTGTGTACATATATATACGCGGACACACACACACACACACACACACACACCCTGTGCAGGGCTTCTCAAAGTGTGACACACACACACACACACGCACGCACACACACACCCTGTGCAGGGCTTCTCAAAGTGTAGTCCATGGATCTGCAGCATTAGCAGCAACTGACAGCATGTTAGAAATGCAGATTCTCAGGCCCTGCCCCATGGGCTGAATTAAAATCTCTGGGGCTGGAGCCTATCTACATATTTACTAGCTCTCCTGGTAGTTTGAGGCTCGTTAAAGTTTAAGAACTCGTGCCCTAGCGGATCTAGAAGGGACCGTTCCCAATAACCATAACTTTTCCTCAACTTCAGCAGGTGCCAAATAGCGCATAGCTGCCCTTCTTTGATGACGCACAGGCATGCGCCCATGGTTGCCCCCTGCTGGACGCCAACTGCACTGGCGCTGATTTGTGGGATCCCACTTGAAAAAGATTGGTTATCAGGTCTGTGGTCTAGACTCACTAAAATCTACCAGTTCCCCCACCTGCACTGCGAACGAACAAAAGGAGGCTTAACTGGGAATCCAGAAAGGATGACTGTTCAAGAAAGGTCTTTGCACTAGATTCTGAGACTGAGATCAAGGCCTAACTCCACCATCAAATCAAAGTGATCTTGGGCAAACCCTTCCCATCAGGAGCCTCGGTTCCTCCATTTTTTTTTTTTACAGTAGAAAAGGTTTTATTAGAAAGGAAAGTGGAAGTGGAAGCGGGCCTGAGCACGAGAAGTATGGCTCAAAAGGCCTCAGTTCCCCCATGTTTAACCTAAATGAGATGATCTCATAGTCTTTTAGGATGGAGAGGACTTTGGTAGTCATCCTACATCTTCTCTTACAGATGTAAAACTGCGGGGCCAAATGAATCACCTAAGTTCACAGCCAAGACGCTGCCCAGCTGTTCCTTCTGGCTTTAAGGTCTTTGATTCTAGATGCAAGATGGGAAGGGGGGGTCATCAAAGGATGCTGAGGGGACAGCGGGGTCCGGGAGGCAGATACCTTGAGGTTGGAGAGCTGCCCGAAGCGCTTGCTGCACACTTTGCACTCGTATAGGATTTTGCCATTTTCTTTCTTCAGCGGATAAGGCAGGGCTGCGGTGCCCGCTCTGGAGCCCAATGGGACCTGTTTTTCTAGAGCCGCCCTGCCAGCATGCTCTGGCCCTGGGGAATAGGTCCTGGCAGCTCCAGAACCTGGATTCCAGGCCTGGGAGGGTTGGGTTTGGCCAGAAGCTTGGGAAGCCCCTGGGTAGAGACGCGAGGTCTCCCCCCAGGCGCTGTGGTGCCCAGGCTCACTGACACTCATCAGCATGCTTGGCATAGCCCTGGTGGGGTAGAAGGTGTCTTGGGGCAGCATGAAGACGGGGGAGCATTGGCTAGAAGGTGGTTCCCCATAGACGAACAGGTAAGGTGGAGGCAGAAGTGGGTACGCAGGATAGAGTGGGCGGAGGTGGAATGGAAGTTCTTTGGAGCCGGGAGTGGACAGGTGGCAGGAGCAGAAAGCCAAGGAGCTGGGGCTCTTTGTATTCTGCCAGAGGGGTGGAGAGGAGCTGTTGCGAGGAGACAAGGATAGACGGGAAGCCCCTTCACCAACTCTTTCCGGCTGGCTTCCCATCTTGTCCCTGCTTGGAGGGTACTTGGCTATGAGTTTCTCTTCATCGGTGGAGCTGGCTTGTGGCCCTGGTGGCTGGTGCTCTGAGCAGGAAAGGGAAGATGGTCAGGATCCCACAGGCTGGGGTACAGTTCCGCTCCCCATCTAACCTGCCCCACTCAGTGTTGGGAGAGAACTCTCGCCTGCAAGTCTGTTAGGTGACTTGAGCAAGGCGTTTTCCCTCTCTGGGCCTTCCTGGTCTGTGATTGCACTTGCCAATAAAAGTGGCTAGTATTTGCTCAGTGCTTAACAATTTTAGGGAGAGAAAATGATTCAAAAAGCCTATTAGATGTCCATGTGGAGCAGTCAGGTGGGCAGTTGGATGAATTGGTTTGGAGTTTAAAGGAGAGGTCTGAGCTGGAGACATAAATTTGGGTGTCAGGGGCCCAGATGATATCACATAAGGGTGACTTTAGATCTGCTCTGTCCAAAATGGCAGCCACCTGACACATATTTCTACATTTAAATTAATTAACATAAGTGCCATAAAATATTCAGTTCCTCAGTGTCACTAGCTACATTTAAAAAGCTCAATAGATATGCTATTAGACAGCACAGGTATAGAATATTTCCATTATTGCAGGAAGTTCTATCAAACAGTGCTACTCTAAGTAAAGAGAACAGAAGAGCAGAGGAAGGAAAGAAGAGAAGAGGGGAGAGAGGAGGAGGAGAGGTGAAGGGGAGAGAGGGGAGGGGAAGGGGAGAGAGGAGGAGGAGAGGGGAAGGGAAGAGGCTGGACTGTCCCGGAGCAGGTGAATATTTAGGAGGTAAGTAGAGAAGAGCTTAGTAAGGGAGACTGAGATGCAAAATCCAGGAGTGATATAAAGTAAAATACTAAAAAATAAAAAATAAAAAATAAAAAGTGGATTGTCTGTTTGGATTTTCATTTATTCACTCAACAAACATTATTGAGCTGTTTTGCTCTGTTTGGCAGCGGTGGTGGTGGATAAAGGGCACAGCAGCATAGTCCCTGCCTTCCAGGAGGTCGCAGTGGCATAAGGAAATGGGGTACTACAATGCAACAAGCCTAAGACACAGGGATAGTGAGAGCCTACTTTTATGAAAGAAGAAACTGGCCTCAGTGATGTGCTCAAGATCACGGAGCTAAAAGAGCAGCACCAAAACCCCACCTCAACTCTCCGAGTCCTGGCCCGTGCTCCTTTCTCATAATAAAGATCCCCCTAGCTCAAACAGGTAGACAAGCTCCATCCTCACCCCGCCGCACCACCACCAATACCAAATCCCACACCCATGCCTGAGAAAGCCATTGCCCACCTCCTCTGGCTCAGGTGTCACTACCTTGAAAGCCCTCTGCACACCTAGGCCAGAACTCCAGGGCAAAGTGTGCTAGTCAAGTGTGCCTGAGGCTCAGTACTCACCAGCGACACTGGGTTCTCTCCACTTCCTGTCCCAAAATCTAATAGTGCCCCTCACCTTCAGCCTCCACCAAGGTGCAGCCCCATGCCCTGGGGTTACTCTTGCTCAAGGAGTCCACTCTGAGGCCCTGTGGGGATGTACCCTGGGGTGCCAGCTGCAGGGAGCATAGGTAGAGGTCCAAGCCCTGGGGGCAGGCCAGCAGGGCAGATCTGGCTGGTGCCCATGGCAAAGGGCACAGCCAACTGACACTGGATGGGCCACGGACATCTACTGTATCTGGAAGTGGCCTGCAGGCTGGGAAGACCTGGAGGGCAGGGGGGAAGTGGATGGGGGCTGGGGACTCCTGGGTCCCTAGAATGATACTACCCCTGGTTTGGTTCCCAAAGGGGGAAGAGACACTCACCCCCATCATGTCCGTCACTCAAATGGCTTCCCCTTACTTCATCCAAAGACTTCTTTCTCCAGAGACTTTTGTGCCCACCCCAGGATCGTCTTCCCTCTGCTGCTAGAATCCCTCACCTAACAGTCTCCCTTCCACCGCCCTTCCTGACCACTCTGGGTCCACCATGTCTCAGACCATCTACTGTGTTTTGAATGGAGCTAAAATGAACTTGGAGAAAATCCTCATTAAATACTATGAACCCCACAAGATGGGTCCTATGGCCTTGTTCCTACTCATGATCCACATGAGATTCTGGCCCCTAGAGCATGGGAGAGTGTCTCTGGCACCTCAAAGGCCCATCCCCATGATGTGCCAGGGTAAAGGTGCTCAGGACCAAGGGATAATGGGAATCCAGGGTCCCTTCGGATTTTCTCTGACTTCCTCCTAACATTCCCTCCCTTCATAAGCAGGCTGGCCTCAAAAGATAGGGCTGGGATTCCACTTTACCTGGTGCTCTTGGCAAGACTGGAAGTCCAGGCTGGGGGACAGGGAGCTCCCTGTACTCCTCCAGGGCTTGGTCTTGTGGCAACAATCCAGTTCTGGAGTGGGTTCCCCCTTCATGCCCTCACTACCTGCTAAGACAAGTCAGTCACAGGTGAGCAACAAAGGTTCTCCAAATAGCCTGGCCTCTAGGGCTGGCTCTCCCACTACACTTTGAGCCAGTCACTGTGCCACCCAGCCTCAGTTTCACTATCTGCAAAATGGGAGGGTTGAACTGGCTGACGTGTGAGGGCTCTCAGTGCTGACATTTAGAAGTTAATGGTGCTCTCCTCATAGGTGCAGAAAGAGGATTGAATGGAGACTTGACAATGAGAGATGAGGAGCAGAGCCGGCCTGATCCCCACCCTGAGGAAGAAAGGAGAGAGGAAGGTCTTCATGGAGGTTACTCCCAAGTGAGCTCAGAGATCCGAGGGGCCGCAGGGAATTGAGAAGCCACTCTCTTCTATGTTGGGAGGGACTCATGACTCCATCCATGATTCTATCAACCACGGGCTATCCACTAAGGGGAACTCCCCACCCAGGAAGGGGAGCCCCTGCATCATAACTCATCCACAGAGCTCTTCTATGCAGCTAAAGAAACCCCTGTGTCCTGCCACCCAGACTTCCTGGACTCAGCTCCCTCACCAGGGACAGTCTGAGAGAGTAAGTCAAGAGTCCCCCAGGTCCCCTGACTGGCCTGATAGGAAGCTGCCCTGAGTGGCTCAGCTGTCTGCTCAGTTAGCACCTGGTTTCTCTGCTACCTTTCACTGAAGGCCACACAACACAGGTATCACTTCAGTTCCCACTCCCCTCCCCCTCAGTAACCATGCTTTCCTCTTTACCCCAAGCGCCCTTCAGACCATAATACCCTCACTCAAGTGGCTCAGTCCTGCATAATCCAGACTCCTTTCCCTTTTCCTGACTCCTCCCTGCCCAGCCCCAGGTCCCAAAACAAATATCCCCAAAAGAGGGGTTACCTTCATGAGGCTCTTCACCTGGCTCTGCAGAAGTCCCCTCTGGCTGGGGAAGGAAGGAGGTTGGCAAGTGGGCAGCGGCTGCCTGTGGCTGAGGCCCCACGGGGTGTGAGAGATGACAGGAAGGTGCTACGTTTGAAGTTACCACAAATAAGGAGGAGGAGGCAAGCAGGCAGGCTGGGGACCCATGAGACCTGAATAGGGGGAGCCATCCACCATCCTTTACCTACATGTGGCAACTCTACTGAACAATGTGCTAATTTGAGGGCCATTGTGAACTGGGTCACTGGAATTTCAATATGTGAGGGTGAGCTGAGGTATAGCATTGCTATCTCTGGTTCTCAGAGAACTCAGATGGCTGAGCAGGAGAGCGACAGAGGGCTCAAAAGGTGGAGCTGGGGTCCTTCTGGTGATGGGGGCCCATTGGAGACAGAGACAGGCAGTTATGACAGAGAAGACAGTGACGGTGATGGCTGGGACAGGAACAGGCAGAGACAACAGTAGACAACATAGAATGATCCGGGGTAAGACAGAAATCTGAACTTGTAGAGCAGAAGACAGGAAGCAACAAACATGTCTTCCTCCTCCTGTCCCATCTCTGATCTTCCTATCCTGGGAATCTTTTCTCTAATCTAGATGGAGCACTGAGGCCCTAACAGGGCAAGAGATGATTCAAGGACACAGCAAAATGCTTGTAAGACATGACTAGATACCAAAGGGGAGGTCCCATTGGCCAGGCAGCAGTTTTTTAAGCCAAGCAATGTCATTATTCTTGTGAGCAGAAGGTGGTCCATCCCCCTTGGGGCCTCACGCATATTCTGCCCAGTTGGTGTACCTGCATTGTGCAGTGCCTGGTCCAGTGTGACAGAGCCCTAACCATTCATCAAACTCCACCCCAGCCATGCCACCCAGGTGGCCTGGAACACACAAGGACATCTCAGACTCTCCCCTGTGGGTCAGGGGCATATTATAGGTATTTCTCTGCCAGCTCAGCCCCTGGCTGGTACTTACCTCCACTGTGGCCTCTATCACTTCCTATCATAATTATTTGCCCACATAGCTGACCCCTATGTGTCTATGAGCGTCTCAAGAACAGGAGTCACTGTCTACTCATTTTTGTTTCTCATGTAGGCATGTCAGGGTTTTTTTAGATGCCTAGCATTTAGAACTTCCCCCCCACATAAATTTGAAGGGAGGCAGAAAGCATCTCTCACTACAAAAACTGAAAAGGCCACATGCTTAATTCCAACCTCCCTGACCCAGCATGATACAGGTGCACAACATGGACTAGTCAGTCAGATGCCCCCATTCAGACTGTGGACCAGAAGCCGGTAGCCCTGGTGTGGCAGGTGAGTGGAGACTCCCCACTCTGTAAACAGTGTCATATCAGCTTCTGGGGCAGCAGAGGAAAGAAAGGGGTTCAGAGAGGGTTGCTGAGTCCTCTCTAAGCTGGTCCTGGGGTGTGTGGTTCTGGGGCTCTTAGCCTCCCTTAATCCATCCCATTTTCCAAGTCTGGCTCTGCAAACTTCCCAGACTTTCTGGGAGCTTCCCCAACATCTTTTAAATGAATTCTTTTTCTCCCTAAACCCTCCTGAAATGGTTTCCACAGCTTACAACCAAGAATCCTGCATCATACATGCTCAGAATGAAGATAAAGCAACAGGGTTCAGGCTGGAGTATTCCAAGGATCGGAGTAGGTAGCTACTTTTGCAAGCAGCTTACTTATATGCCTGGCACTGTGCTAAGGGCTTCATAAGCTTTATCTCATTCACAATAAGCCTGTATGGCTGGTTTTATTATCCCCATGATGAAGAAATTGAAGCGTAAGCACCTCACCCACAGTCACACAACAAATGCCAACCCTCAGATTCCACTAATCCTTGGCAATGCCGGCCCATCCCCACTGCCATCCCCACTGCTCCGTTTCAGCCCCCACACTATCTCTTCCAACATGCTGTTCCCAGTGCCCACACCACCCTCCCCAGCCTTTTCTCTTTCCCAGCTGCCTTCTCATATCCTTCAGATTGGTAGAGGAGTTCCCCCGACAGCATCCCTTGTAGTCATGGTCCATCAAACCTCTACTCCCCCAAAGCTAGAGTCCTCCCAGCTCCCCAGGCCACACAACAGCCTTGCTGCAATCACAGGGGGCAAAGGAGGTTCTGGGTACCCACAGAAGCACCCCTGCCCCACATCTCTGAGAGAATCCACATACACTTGGGCTTCTGTAAGCTAATTCCATCCCTTTCTGGCATTATACTCTGCTTCCAACACTCAGAAAAGTCTGTACAATCTCTTGATTAGAAACATAAAGAACCTTGGCAATTTCCAGGTCTCCCATCCCTGAAAGGCTTGGCTAAAAATGTCCTAGGAGGTGGGCTGAAGATAGTCCCCCAAGTTTCCATCCAAAGTAGCCTCTACCTGTCAACCCTTTTCTTGCTTCCATCTCCTGGGTCCTTTGTCCTGTCAGCTTCCAGGTCCACTATGATGTCACTGGCCTAACTATGATGTCACCATGTCTCATATCCCCCAGGAAGATAGCACAAGGATAGGACCATGGCCTTCTAACCAGGGACCTGAGCAGACGTCTGGACCCAGATGAGAGACTCAGGCCAAAGCAAGTTCTCGGTGACCAGAGAGAACTTGAGCAGTGTTCATGGAGGGAAAGTGGGCTTGACAGGCCTTCAAGGGTGAGTGGGAGACACTCAGGAGGCCTCTGAAAATAGTGGCATCTGGAGCAGGGTGCTCCTGGCTCATTGTGCACTTGCTTTCTTCTTTCCGTTAATGACAAAATAATACATACTTGTGGCAAACATTTCAAATAACAGAGAATATAAAGACAAAAAATGGAATCTCCTCTTTTACAATTTTCCAGCGGTCAGTGTGAATTGTTTTGTATTTATCCTTCCAGACATTTATTTATGAACTTACACACAGGTAAATGGACTTTTAAATTTGTGTTTATACAGTCTACAGCCATGCCACTCTGAACAAGCCTGATCCTGTCTGATCTTGGAAGCTAAGCAGGGTCAAGCCTGGTTAGTACTTGGATGGGAGACCACCTAGGAAGACCAGGTGCTGCAGGTATAATAAACAAACAAACAAACAAACAAACAAACAAACGAGGGATTGTGAGTTGACAAGGTCCTTGCAATCTGTGAGGTCAACCAAGGATTGCCTGGCCTAAAAAATAATAATAATAATTTGTTTTTATACAAAAACAGATTATATGATACATACTGTTCTGCAGCTTTTTCTACCCAACAATCTACTGTGGCCATCATTTCATGCCAGAACACATACATCTGCTTCCTGCTTTTATCTGATTATACAGTGTTCTATTGCAGGGTTGGACATAATACGTAGCATTCCTCTATTGGTGGACTCCAATTTTTCTCTGGTCCACACAAGAATGGCAAGGACCACCATACAGAGGTAATATGCAGAATGGTTAAGAATATTAGCTCTGCTGGATTTAATCCCAGTTCTGTGACCTTATGGCAAGTCACTTAACTTCTCTGTGCCTCTTTTCTCATCTGTCAAATGAGGATAATAATAGTACTTTCCTCACAGAGTTCTTTTAAAGGTTCTTCAAGATAATTCATGTAAAGCACTTAGAACAGTGCCTGGCCCAAAACAAACACTCAACTGGGTTACAATTCATGCTGTACACCTATCTTTGCTTAGATAGGCAAGTATCTGCAAGTTAGCTTCCTACTTGATGGATATTCCTGGCTCATTTTGGAAGATGAGGATTTGGGCAGCACACTTGGAGAGATAAACTACATTCAGTTTTATTGCTTTATTTATTAACCCCTGGTTGGAGACCACTACTCTCATCCAATGTCCTCTTCCCCAGTCTACACACTACAATAATAATAGCTCTTGACATTGAACTCTCACCATGTGTCAAGAACCCTGCAAAGCACTTCAATACGCTTTGTTAAACTCAGTCAGCACAATGACTCTGCAAGATGCATCATGATATTTCTGTTTCACAGGCAAGAAAACTGACACTCAGAGAAGGAAAGTAACCAGCTCAAGATCACATGGCCCAAGCTGGGACAGTGACATCTTCAGAAGGGAAGGAGATCTCAGGGAAGAATTACT